CTGACACTAGGTTCACAAGTAGCCCCAATTCCTATTGCCCATGGGCTTCTGGCTGACTTTTTATGTAGTTCTGGGACAAAAGAAGTCATTTACTGTGATTTCTCATTGGACTTTTTTATCATTATTCAATCTGGTGTGGATATCAGGTTTTTTACTAGAGTAGATGTGAGGCAACTGGGCAGTCTACCTAACCACTCAGTGTTAGAAAGGACTTTTCAGTGTTGTGGTGATGATTTTGGGCAGAGCAGATGGTAGCTTCCATCCAATCCTGGATCAAGGAGTCTTCTAAACCCTGTAACTCATGCATTGTAATCTGTAATGGGTTATAGATAGCCCCACTCTCCCAGAACCATTGATAGAGAAACAAGGAGTCAGGAACCTGGTGTTGATAGAGGACTCTACCCATTGAGTGTTGGTGGTAAATGGAGGGCTATGGCTTTATGGCGACTGGTCAGAGTCAGTATAGACTATAAGTAGGGCAAAAAGTATAGAGCGAGAAGGCCTCTAAAAAAGAACACTATCTTCCTGGGTCAGCTGGGAGTGTCCAAGGTGAGAAGTAGGTGTTGGCACAGACTAGTTGGGATTCATGGAGGGAGACCTCAACTGCCTTGAACAATAAAGGCTGCAACCTCGTTGTAGGGAAACCCTTGGGTGATAGGTAGATGGGGATGAGAGGTTCCTGTTGAGGAGGGGGGCATCCAAACCCATGTCCTGACCAGGACCAGGGCTGGGCAGACTCATTCAGTCACATGTCCAAGGCTTCTCTTCACTCCATATTTTCTGTTGTGCCACTTAATACATATTTATTCAACTTAGAAAGACTTGTATGATCTGATGCTGAGTGAAGTGAGCAGAACCAGAACACTGTACACAGTAACAGCCACGTTATTCGATGACTAATAATGATAGACTTAACCCTTCTCAGCAATACAAGGATCTAAGACACCTCCAAAGGCCTCATGATGGAAAATGCTGTCCGCATCCAAAGAAAGAACTATGGAGTTTGAATGTAGATTGAAGCATACTGTTTGCTATTTTTTTTTCTTCTGTTGTGTTTTGTTTCTTCTTTCTGGTGATTCCTCCTATTGCTTCTAATTCTTACTTACAACATCACTAATGTGAAAACATTTTTAATAGAAATGTATATGTACAGTCTATATCAGATTGCGTGCTGTCTCGGGGAAGGAGAAAGGGGAAGAAAAATTTAAAACTCAAAAGCTTATGGAAGTGATTGTTGATAATTCAAAATAAATTAATAAAAAAAATACATGTTTATTCAATTTAAATAAATTTCTCCTTACTCTATAAGGTATAATGTAGAGAACGCGTTCTTTGATGAGAAGGAAGATGCCTGCACTGCTCTGGGAGAAATCTCTGTAAATGCCAGGTAAGCCCTGCATCCATCCTCCCCTGATCTCACTGCCTTCCTCTGTGGACAGAGCCCTTCCCTCATGTTGGTATTTCTGTTCCTTAGCATGGCCTTCCTTCCGTACATGGAAAATGCCTTTGAAGAAGTGTGCAAACTGTTGGAGGTGAGGGTTTTGTCCAGGGGACTTGGGAAGGGCAGAGTGGGAAGGACGGTCGGCCTTTGAATAGGGCAGGCAAGTTGTAACCTGTGCTATGTCTGTCTCCTTCCTTCCCACCAGTGTCCCCACATAAATGTCCGGAAGTCAGCTTATGAAACCTTGGGCCAGTTTTGCTGTTCTCTGCACAAGGTTTCCCAGACTATCCCCTCAGAGCAGAATAGCTTTGGTGAGAAGGGAGGCCCAGTTCTGCATGTGATTTGGTATCAAGGGCAGGGTGGGTAACAGGGTCCTGAGCAGGACAAGGGCTAGGAAGCTGTCATTGGCATTGCTGGTGTGTCAGGGCAACACTGTTTTTCCAGCACTACAGGCAGCCCTGGGTCGGGTGATCCCATCCTTCTTGCAGGCAGTGAATATGGAACGTGAGCGACTTGTGGTCATGTCTGTGTTGGAGGCCCTGAATGGTGTGCTCCGGAACTGTGGGTCTTTTGTGCTCCAGCCTCCCAGTCGATTGGCCGATCTCTGCAACGTCATCAAGGCTGTGCTGCAGAAGAAGGTGAGAGCCCTAGATAAGCACAGGCCAGCATCACAGGGATGCTGAAGTGAGCCAGACTGGAAGGTCTGAGCCTGGCCCTGGCTCCACTGTAACTAATACCCGCCCCTGCCCTTACTGAGCCAAGCCTAAGCTTACCTCATTTTCTAGATAGCCTGTCAGGACCCAGAAGAGGAAGAGGAAGATGAGATGGAACAGGTAAGAGGCAGGGGCTGAGAAAACTATGTGTGTGTGTGTGTGTGGAGGTGGGGACGTGGTCTGGAACCCACTGTTGGTTAATCAGTAATTACTGAGTGCCTGTTATGTGTCTGGCACTGAGCTAATGCCTCAAAAGAGATAAAAAGATGTGACATATATGGAACGTATATCCACAGGTTAGCAGCTAGCTACAGATCAAACCAAAATACAGGAGAAAATTAGTTGTAAAATTGTGTGATGGTGTTGAGAGTAATAGGGAAGAAAGGAGAGAGATCTTTGAGGGGCTTGGATGGTTGAAGAAAGATTCAGGGGTGGGGTAGGGGAGGCAGGAGGATAATGTTAGCTGAATGGGATGACTAAGATTTAGATAAACACAGCAGCAGGTCTGAGGGGGTCAGGGGTGGGGGGTTGGTGAATCCAGAGTGCTTGACAGGGCTATACGAAAATGATTGACCCCCTCACTCCCAGAAAGGAATCGAGTATACCCAAAGTGTGGTTCTGATGGAGTGGGAGTGGTTAAAGAAATGAGGAAGGGGGGGGGCGGGGCAAAAGAATGTTTGATGAGTAAGATGGCAGGAAAGAAGATTCTCCAACCAAGAAGGTTGGAGGGTAGGCTTTCAGAGGTGGTATGATGAGATCTGCTGTATCGATTCCTCTCCGGAGTTGGGAGGGTTGGCTGAGATGGGATCTTGGGGTTTGGATGGTCCCTGACCACCTCAGCCCCACAGGCAGAATATGATGCCATGCTGCTGGAACATGCAGGGGAAGTCATTCCGGCTTTGGCAAGTGCCTCAGGAGGAGAGACCTTCGCCCCCTTCTTTGCTGGTTTCTTACCTCTGCTGCTACGCAAGGCAGTGAGTGATTCCCCTCCTTTGACTTCTGACCCCTGCAGTCTGACTTCCCCATTCTTGCCCTTCCCCCCCCCATGCCCTGGTCCCAGTTCCCAGCTCCAGCCGCACTTGTGTACCCCCATGCTTCCCCTGTCCTAACTGGCCCCCTTCTCCCCTCAACAGAAGCCAAGCTGCTCAGTGGCAGAGAAGTCATTTGCGGTAGGAACTCTGGCAGAGGCTATGCAGGGCCTGGGGGCCTCCTCAGCCCAGTTTGTATCACGGCTGCTGCCGGTGCTGCTGGGGGCTGCCCGAGACTCAGATGCCGAGGTGCGGAGCAATGCCGTCTTTGGGCTGGGCGTACTGATGGAGCATGGGGCCTGCCCTGCCCTCGAGTATCCTTATCACTGAGGCAGCTGGTGGGACTGTGGTAGGGGTCTGACAGAACAGCTTCTTGTCCATCCCTTTGACTAGGGGTGGGGAGCCTGTAGCCTCAAGGCCACATGTGGCCCTCTGTGTGGCCCTTTGAATCCAAACTTCACAGAACAAATCCTTTTATTAAGGCCTGGAAGTCCCAGGTTCCCCACCCCTGTCCTTGAATTTTGCTGATGGTTTTTTTCTGATATACCTCCCATACAGTCAAAGCAAAACCAGTGAAGGTGGCCAGCATTCCTTACCCATAGCCTCCACCTCTCTCCTGAGGAGGAAGGTCTATTTTATCATCAGTCCTCTGGAACCAATAGTCAACCCTGTCATTTTCAGAAAAGTGAAGTCATTTGCTCAAGGTCTAGTGGCAGAATGGGATTAGAACCCAAACCTTCTCATTCCCAGTCCAGTGCTCTTTGTACCACATCTCACCATTGGCAGTAGGGGTTTGGGGTATTGGGCCTGGATCTGTGGAGAGAGTTCCTTGACTGCAGCCTAGGCATTTCCATAAGATTCTGGGGTTCTTGTCATCTCTCATTGCCCGGGAACAACATGACCGTGTCCGTGACAACATCTGTGGGGCCCTTGCACGCTTGCTGATGGCCAACCACACAGGAAGGCCTCAGAAACAGGTAGGAGGAGAAGGGGAGGGGGGGCAGGGGCTGTCCCTCAAGCAGAGAAGAAGGGTTCTTCACTTAGCTGACTCTGGTCTGTTTAGGTGCTGACCACGCTGTTCCAGGCATTGCCACTGAAAGAGGACCTGGAAGAATGGGTCACTATGGGGAAATTTTTCACCTTCCTGTATCAGAGCTTCCCTGAGCAGGTACCTGGCCTAGGAACCTCGGTCCTACTCCCTCACCTCAGTTCTGGGGCACTTTGTGTGTTTGGGAGAGAGGGGCAGGAGTTACTGGGGTTACTGTAACTGAGCTCCTCCCCCATGTTCCCTGCAGGTGGTTGATGTGGCTCCGGAGATCCTGACAATATGCAGTCTTACCCTGAGTGCCAGCAAGGTCCCACAAGGTGAGCGGAATAGCAAGTATACTTGAAGGAGGGGAGACCGGGGTTGAATAGGAGGGAAAGTGATTTGGATGAGTCATGCCTACTGCTCTTCTTGGTGACTCTGCACTCTGATTATCTACCCCCAGACACCAAGGCTGCCTTGCTGCTGCTCCTGACTCATTTGGCCCAGCAGCACACAGACAGATTCCAGGCAGTGCTGGGCTCCCTGCCCCCTGACAAGGCCCAGGAACTTCAGGCTGTGCTCAGTCCCACCTAGTGCCTGGAAAGTGGCCTCCTGGGATTGGGATCAGAAAGGGAAACCTTCCCTTCCCAGGACTGCTTACTGCCTTGGCTCCATCTGGGTGCCTGCCAAAGATCTCCATCCCCAGGACAGTTTGTGGCCTTATGGGAGCCATCCCTGGGGCTGGTTCTGTTACTCTATTGGACTTCACGGACAAGGGGTTTGGCTTCTGATTTGAATAAAGTCCATTTATTTTGGATGAGCTGTAGCTCTGGGGTGGGGAACAGGAAAACTTAGGAGGCACATGAGAGGGGGGGTTTATCAGTACAGCAGTTGAATATGTTCGATCTCTTGCCACATCCAAAGAGACAGGCCTCTCTATTGGTGGTGGTACCGAGGCCCTGGGCGGATGATGAGGCTGCCATAGGGCTCTTCTTGTTCCACGTGCAGAACCTGATGCATTGATAGCACTGAAGAAAATGGAGAGTGGGGAGATTGTGATAGGGAAGCTCCTGGGCTCAGCTACTCTGCTCCCTCTGCCTTACCACTCCCTCCACACACCCTTAGCTCACCCAGGAGCAAGTAGAAGACACGAGCAGCCACCAGACGGGAGGCAAGGGGAGGAATCAGGTTGTTGAAATCGATTTCTCCTGAAGCCTGCACCTCCAATATAATAGCCCTGCCAGGGGCCAAGAAACATTTAGTTTAATACCATGGAGTTCTTTGGGTCTACTCTAGGTCACATCTTACTCCTGTCTTCTCCCTGTTCCCATCAATACCTTTGCACAGCCTCTGGGGAGAGTTGTAGCAGATCTGGGGCCAGCCGCAAGGGGAGTTCAGGCAGTTCTGGTAGCTCAGGAACCACAGGCAGCACAGGCGCCTCCACCTCCGCCTCACCTAAGCCCCTTGGAGGACATAGGTGTTACCTGGGAGGTGGTGGTCATAGTGGCAACAGGAGAGTAAGGTTCTCTTCCCTCCCCTCCCACCAAGCTTTCTTCCCTTACTATCCTTGCCCCTTACCACCTCTCCTCAGGGGGAATGAAACTGAGGCGGGACCTCTCTTCCTCTGTGGTCTCCAAGAAGAGTTCTGTTGTGGGGGAAATGGTCTGAGAGGGTCTATTCCTTCATGTCATTTCCACTCACTCTCATTCTCCCGAGCTTTACCTGAAGACAGTAGTAGGGGACCACTGGGCTCTTGGGCTTCTCGAAGAGTCTAAGGGTGAGAGAGAGGGGCAATATGATGAACATTTCCAGGAGAGTCTGTGCTTGGTGGAGTTCATTGGGCCTCTGCAAATCTAAAGATTTGGCTTAAGGTAAACCAGGATTTGGAGGGATTATTTTGTGATGAATGGAGTTGACCAGGCACCTCTATTTCACTGATAGGCTCAGCCTTTCTTCTTTCCTCTAACTGCTCAATTACAGCCTCAGGCTCTTCGGGTTGCAGATATCGGAGCTCTTCTGGGGGTACCCGGGCACAGCGAGTCCAGAGACCAAGTAGCTCTGGGTGTAGCCATCCAGCTGGGAACAAAGGAGAGAGGTTGGACAGGAATTTGTGGAATTAGAGCTCTACTTCATTCTCTGCTTTCTAGCATCCCCCAGCCCTATTCCACCATTCTTACCATAAACTGGTGTTCTCAGCAGCTCTGTAGGGCTCTTCCTCTGACTGGAAGGCTGGACCATTGGCTGCATTGAAGAGAAAGGAAGGTCACAGCTTTAAAGCTGAAAGGGCCTCCATCATCTGGGCCAGTCTCCTCAATGAGGAATCGGTCACCTTTCTGGGTGGTGACTTTTCCAGTGGCAGAGATTGGCATCTCAGCCCCCATTCTTTAGCTCCAAATCTTCCCTCTGCCCCTACTGTCTTCATGTGGTGGGCTTATGTTACCACCTCCACTGTATCATTTGGGCAGGGGCTAGAAGTAGCTCTGTGTTGCCTTCTCTCTTGGATCTTCAATTTTTGTCCCCTTCTTTTGTAACCTTTAAAGCCCTGCAATCCCATGACTGTTTTGTGTCATTACCCAACAGTAGTCTTGCCCCATACTCACACAGTCCCGGGTGTGGGCCTGGGTTTGTACAACTTGCTTTTGGAATTCCTCTCGAGTAATCTGGGTCTCTTCATCATACAACTGAAACCGGCGGCGGGAGGGTGGAGGCTGAGGTGGTGGGGGCAACTCTGGGAGAATCAGCTGTTTCGGGGAACAAGGCATCTGTTACCCTTGTAGTTTACCTAGTAGCCTGCCCCAGAGTCCCCCAAGACTCTTAATAGAAGCTCCCAAAAAGGGTGATAGAAGGCTGAACCAGTGGGAAAGGAAAGGGAAATGCCCAAGGGCTTAGGGATAGGGGAATGGGGTGCAGTACTTACTTCAGGGCTGCGGGGAACCGGAACAGCAGGCTCCAAAGGGCTGGGCATCCGAGGCAGAAGTAGCTCTGTAGTTGGGATCTCATCTGCCAAGAGCAACCTAGGAGTTCTGGTTCTGCTCCAAACCTTGCCCACCCTTGGAACATCCCAACTTCCTTAAGTATGGGTAGGGATAGAGAGAGCTGGAACTATTAAGTACTTTAAGCATCTGGGAAGGAGAACTTCGCCAGAGAGCTGAAGCAGTAAAATATTAGGCTTTTGGGAACTGAGAGGCAGTGAAGAGACAGGAAGGGCCACTCACCTGGGGGTGGAGGAGCAGCCTCTGGGACCAATAACCCAAGCTCTTCAGGGACTAGTTCCTTCTCTGGGAGGGGCTCTGCCACCTCCTCAATCCTGGTGGCAAAGTTAAGAATTGGACCTCCCAGCTTTGAACTGCCACCCACCCCCAAATTCACTCAGCTCCTGAAATGAAACCCTGCCTTGGCCCACTTACCGTGGTTGAGGTGGCGGAGATAGCCTAGGAGTGATTTCTTGCTCAGGGACACGGGAAATTTCTACTGGCTCTCCAGCTGAAAGGGAGACAGGAGGCAGAGGGAATGGGATGGTATGAGTTTCTTCCCATCAGCCACCGGATCATTAGATGGTTCAAAAGTACCCCTTATTCCTCCCTTCTAATGTCAGTTTAGACTGTCCTGCTCCAACCCTATCCCTGCCAGAGGGCTGACCATCTGGGACAAGATGTATTTGGGTCCTGAGGGGCTCCTGGGGAGGGTAGATTTTGGCCTTTTCCTCACCCAAAACAGCTTCATCCTCCACAGCCATGAGCAGGTCCAGGTCATAACGGGAGATTTCTGGTAGGTCTCGCTCACCCTGTGGAGACAGTACCTGGGAGTGAATGCATTTCTTCCCTGGGCAAAATAGACACATTTGTGGGGAAAGGAGAGCCAAGTAGACATCAATTGGGACTAGGTCCAAGCTAGAACTAGAAATAGCCCATTCATGGGTGGGAGCATACGTTGGGAAAATTAGACGGTTGAAGAAAACTGCCTGGGGAATTCAGGGGCCAGTCTGTTTTGTCAAGTTCAGGGAATGGAGATGATTGCCCTCTACTTCTAGGCCCCCAATTCTAGAATCCTGCTCACCTCAATGTGCAGCACGTGGATTGGCTCTGCCTCCTGAAGGGTGATGGTTTCAGGAGGCAGGACAGTGATGGGGGATTTGTCTGAGAGAAGAAGATGATATCAGTACCACCCCTGTTGACTTCGTGGTTCTAAGTATAGTCCCATAGCCCTATGTGCCTTCCTATGTCCCTTCCCAGAAAGATGATTCTCTGGCCACCTAATTGGCCTCATGGGAACCAGGAAACTGCTCACCTGGCTTCCTGGGTTCAAGGTAGACCTGAGGAGGGGTCTCTTTAGGAATCCTTTCAGGGGTTGGGGCTTCCAAGAGGTGTCGAACCTTTAGGCAAAGCCCGAAGCATATGGTTTAGTCCTGGACTTCCTGCTCTGTTCACCATATGGTATTTAACAGAAAATACTAAAGCCCTCCTGATGTATGCACCTTTTCTCCCAATCCCAACCCTACAAACGTTACCAGGTAACTTCATAAGATGAGTTTCTGTTCCACACAGAATACTACTAGCTTGGTGTTGCCTATGTGGGTTCAGGCAGGGTCACAGCTCTATCTCACCTCTAGATAGGAGAAGACCTATACGTGGGCTATACCAGTAAGGACCAGTAAGTAGCTGGCTCCCACCCACCCCACCCCCCATCCCCGGCAGCTAATTTGACATAGCACCAACACTGAGGAGGCTAGTTTGTGGTATTGCTAGGAGTCTCATACATACCTGTGGGATACCAAGGGGACTAGGAAGGCTAGGGTCAATGGCCATCACTCCAAAGAAGGGGTCAGGGGCATCTTCCAAGGCCTCCATTGTAGTCAGGGGATCAGGCAGTAGGAGACCAGATCTGTGTGAGAAGTAGTTAGACAAAGAGGGAAAGGATGGACCAGGATAAGACCAAAACTATGGTCAGGAGGACGCAGGGATGGGATGGAGATGGAAGGAGTTGGGGCAAAGTTGAATTGAGCAAAGTTCCACATCCCTGGCCCTGGAATGGTACTACCTAATTTGGAGTTAGGTACTCACACATCTGGTTCCACCATGTCAATACGGATCTGCTGTTGGGCTCGGTGCAGGCGCTCTAGGATATGCTGAATATCCTCTGTGGGATGGGTAGGGGCACAGAAAGTGAGAAGGCAGAGAACAAATTGCCTCACCTCCTAATTCCACTTGTCTCCTCCTGTGGCACTGCTGCCCCACCCAGCCAGCCCTGAGCCCTGTGAGGTAACCTGCCTCCTCATCTCCCTGACTTTACCATCTTTCCCATCCTCCCTCGCCACCTTACCCACAAGGTACTGGCATTGGCGGAAATAGACACGGATAACGCCAAACTGGAGCTGGGCAGAGAGATAAAGGGAGAAGCGGGGCCTGGGGACACCTGGCAGAGATGGCTGTACTTGCACCAGAATATACTGCAGGATCTTCTCACTGTGGGGAAGCAATAGCCTTTCCTGCTGAATCTCCAAATGACTGCCAATGTCCCTGCCTTCAGCCCTCAACCACTCTGTTCTTTGTCCTAGCATTTTCCCAAACAATAAACCTCATTTTTCCTCCCCCTCCTTGGTCCCCAAATAGTGACAGTTCTTATTTCTAATCTACTTTCCTCTTACCCCAGTCCCCTGAATTGCAGGGGCTCTTACCATGTCTCCACCACATCCACCTTCAGGTATTCACGTTTCACTAGCCTTATACCACCTGTTGCTGCCAGCCTAGAAGTAGACAGGAGAAGAGTCAGTCACCTTTACGGTTTGTAATATGTCACTCCAAGAGCACAAGCACAAGAACCAACCTAGTTGGGGAAGACTTGGACAGGAGAGGGCCCTTCAGGAGGGGCACTATGGTGCTGGGAGGAGCCTCCCTTACCAAGCTCACAGAGTATCAAAGGTGGAAAGGACCCTTTAGAAATTTAGTCCAACTACCTTCTTTTACAGATAAAGAAACTCTGGTCTAAAGAGTTAATGACTTGCCCAGATCACACGGAGGGTTAGAGGCAGAGTCTTTCTTTTTCACTCCCACCCCGCTCTCTCAGCTGCTCCCAGCTTCCTCCCCCACAAGCCCCCTACACCCCCTCACCAGATAGTGGCAAAGCAACCACTGTGGCGCTGAAGCACGTTTGGGTAGTAGAACATCTTCTCATTCCAGTCTTCTGTCCCCCACCTTTCTGAACCTGTACTCTAAACCTTTTAAGGGGGCTGCGTTTCCTAGGTCCTTAGTAGCAATGAGTTACAAAGGAAGCTCTCCCCACTAATTCAATAAAGATTTGGGCATACAAGTAGGTAAGTAGATTTATCAGGAGATAGAACTGTGAAAAGAGAACTGCGAATAGGTGTACAATCTCTCTAGACTCTATATAGACAGAGTTGTAGGGAAAAAAGGGTGAAATACTAAGAAACTAGAGGCTGTCTTCCAGAGGACAGGGAGGTGGCTTCCCACACCCCTGGAAGATGAAGTTAAGCGCGGCAACCCAGCTCCGGCTAGGGCTTTGGCTGGGAGATGCTGCCTCGTAGGGGTGGAAGGGGAGCTGTCTCAGCCCCAGGAGGGAAGGTGGGGAATCTTGTGTGCCACCTGTTGCTGCCCTGCCTCAGGATGAAAGCGGATCCCCCACCCCTACTAACGGACTCTCCTTCAGGCCCCCAAGCTGCGGGGTTTGGGTGTCCGGGAGCGGAGGCGAGGCACAGCGTGGAGAGACTCGCAGCAAGATTGCCCGGTCCTGCCTGTCCACTAGATGGATGCCCACTGCAGGGGGCGCACTCCCTCCCTCTCCAGCCTCTTCTGATTGGACGGTGGCCCTCCTGGGAACGGCCAATCAGGCACAGATGCCAAGAAGCAGCCTTCGCTTCTCCCGTAGCTTCTAGATCTGAAGCTCAGCCTCTCAGCTGCCCCCGGTCCTGCAGACCTGGGTGTAGCGTGGTGGCCAATCAGAAATACTCCTCGGAAGGACTGGCTGACCAATCAGCTTCTGTTCTTGAATTCTTCCTTCTCCGCCCCCCCAACGCCTGGTGACAGAACTGACGTTCCAGTCATTTGTGGAGAGTCCTGACTAACCAATAGGCGCACGGAATGACAGTTCCCTGCATCTGGGGCAGCGGGCTTGGTAACAAATCCTTCCCAGCCAATAGAGAAGCTAAGGACAATTGGAAGCCATCTGTGATTGGCCCCTGGGACCTAGCTTCGTGTCCTTCCATTCACCCCACATCAGGAATTTATTTAATAATTACCAAGAATACTGCTTTGTGTCCAGTAACCCATGTGGGTTACTGAGAATAACCAATCTATCCATCCAAATGTATTTATTAAAGCGCCAACTCTATGTTAAGTTCCAGGGATACAACATCCTGGCCAGTCCTCAAGAAACTTACAGTCTAGTTGGTGCTGAAAAGCATAGACTGCATACGTGACCACAGCGTCCTGTATGAGTGGACAACACTGGCATCTACTCTGCATTTAAAAATTAAGGGACCAAGCCTTGCAAAGTTACTCTATTTGAGACCCTGTAAAATCTAGCATAATGTAATCCCCAGGGTGGGTGTTCTACTCTTAAACTGATGTCAAAATGAAACAAAGTAATAGTAAAGAACCAAATTAGGAGCCTTGTAACTGCCAGAGATATGGGGATGACTGTGAGGTCAGGGGGATAGGTCAGAGAAGAGAGAAAGCAACACAGAATTTTAACCCATTCCTGTAATGTGTAAGTAGGTGTGCCAATTTATGTAATGTCTGTACTCCCATATTCCAGTGAATCTGTGATCCCATCCACGTGGGCATTCCCTTCAGTGATGTAGATCAAACCCAATCTTTGCCTGTTTCTTGTGCAATTTGTGCTCATAATTTTGTCCCGGAGTCCACCCAACATGCTGGGCTCCTTCCTCAGGTTGTCTTGACATGGAAAGGATACCAATGGAACATGTGAGCTGTTCATCATTTATGCCTCCCTGTCAACGCTTGACCGTCCCATTCTTTTCTTTGCCCCTCTTAAAATTTTTTGATTGATCTTATTTCTATATCACTTTCATCTCTAAACATATTCCTCCTCCTTCACAGAATGCCATCCCTTGTAACAAAGAATAAAAGAGGCAAAAGGCTGTTCAGCATTACTAACCATGTGACAACCAGTTGTGATATGATGTTCCACACAGAGAAAGCAAGGGCACGTTTTTCTTCATCCCCTCACTGGCAGCTCATCTTTTTTATTTGATCTCCAGCCCTAACTCTTATGCAAGACCAATATATTGATTATGTCATCATAACATCTCTTCCCTTCTCTCCTCAGACACTGCCATCACCCTGGTGCAGGTCCTCAGCACCCTGATGCAGAAGACATGGATACTGCTGGTTGGTCTTACTGCTACAAGCCTTTCCCCACTCCATTCCATCCTTCCTAAAATACAGTTCTGGCCGTGTCACTCCTCCCCATTCCTTTGTAAACTCTAATGGCTCCCCATCACTTCCAAGATCAAATATAAACTCCTGTTTGATACTGAAAGTTCTTCCTACCTTTCCAGTCTTCTTACATATTACACCCTCCTATATACTCTATGATCCAGTGACACCCACCTCCTTGCTATTATTCCTTGCACAAGATACTTTATCTCCTGACACGGGCCTTTTCACTGCCTGTCACCCAAGCCTGGAATTCTCTACCTCTTCATCTCTGCCTCCTGGCTTCCCTCAAAGTAACAGCTAAAATCCCTTCAACAGGAAGCCTTTCTTGATTCTCCTTAATTCTACAGATTATGTCCCATTTATCCTATATATAGCTTCTTTATACACAGCTGTTTGCATACTGATTACCCCATTGGGTTGTAAGCTCCTTAAGAGCAGGGAGGAACTGTCTGCCTTGTTTTTTTTTTTAAATCTAGCAATAAGCACACAGTAGGCACTTAAATATGTATTGACTAACTACCTTTTACAGAAGACCAGCATACCTATTTTTGCTTCTAGAACTTATCCCTTGGCCCACCTCTCTGGGCAGATGACCTTCCCACTTTGGTCTTTAGTGGCTTATATGGGACTGTGATGTGTATAGGGCTAGTCCCAAGGACTTCTGTGAATATAGAAAATGAGATGTGATTGGGGTGAGGGGAAAGTGTGACCAGGAAGAGAACCCAAGTTTTCTGATCCCCAATAGACAAGAGTTTAAATCGGGCGTGGGGAACCTGCACCCTCAAGGCCACATGTGGCTCTCTAAGTCCTCAAGTGAGGCCCTTTGATTGAATCTAAATTTCACAGAACAAATCCCCTTAATGCATTTTTATTAAGCTGAAGCCTATGCGTCCTTCTCTGAATGTTTGTAAATGCATAAAATAAAATACATAGGATTACACTTCTATTGAAATGCAATTATCAAAATATTTTAAAAGTTCCAAGTTGTTTAAACACCTGATATCTATCCTCCACGGATTCTGGTTTAAGAATGCCTGGTTTTAAATAAGACGCTTCCTCTCATGACTCTCCATTGACCATACCTGCTTTCCCCTGATACATCAATCTTCTCCCAATAAATCAGATAATTTCACTTTCAATAAAACTTTATTCAAAAACCTAGACAGTGAATCTACAGTTATTTTTAGGGTTTGGAATTGAAGGGCACTGTGAGTTTGAGCTTTTGGGATTTCCCAGGGACTTCCCACCATCTTACCAAATTACCCAAGCATGGTGATACAACTCATAGAAGGCACCAACACCAACTAGAAGGGCACAGAAAGAACATTATACCCCTTAGAGTTAAAGGAAAGGAAGAGGAAGACCAGTGTAACAGATACCAAGGGAACGGAACATTCTTCGCTTATACAAGTCCAGTTTACAGTAGGTATCGGGCGAATGCCTGCTCCATCTGTACCAGGAAGAACAGACATCAGTGAGTTTAGCCTTTTTTCATTCTGGAAGAATCCCTCCTCATCCCAGAGACTCCACCTTATCCCAGATAGTGATACTACCTGGACTGTGATGAGATTCTTATGAGTATATTCAGGACCACAGTGCTCCTCCAAAAAATTTAGGGTCACCTGGAACTCAGGGGGTGGGGCCAGGCCCTTGTGGTATCGGGTTAGGTCTAATGGTAAGAGAGAAAGAAATTTGGGAGAGGAAGCAGCGGAAAGCAACAGAGTGAGGATAGGGTATGAGAGAGGAGTGAAGTGATGGAGGAAGAAAGAAAGGGAGAGAAAATCAGAAACAATGAAAAGAGAAAAGGAGGGGATAGGTAGGAATCAAAGGAAGGAAAATACATAGAATGAGAGGCAATATGATCCCCTGGTCACTATGCCTTAGCCCAGCCAGCCCAGGGTCTCATAAGATTGGTGTTTAGGCTCATGGAGAAACTGAGGAGTGAAGGAACTCAGAATGGCAGGAGTCACAGGTCCAGGAACGTGTGAAAGTGGGGCTCGGGATTACCACAGGACTGACAGCAGCGAGGGAGCAGGACTCTAAAAATTAGGATACTCCCAAGGTCAGGGCCCTTAGGGTTAAGACTGGGTTAGAGTAGAATGGTTCTCACCTTGGAAGAATTTGGCAGGATTAAAGACCTCTACGCATCTTTTGTCTTGTAGCAGATGGGGTCCAGGACCAGAAGGGGCACAGGGCCCAGTCCAGGAAATTGGGATGGTACAGAGGCGCTGTACAAAGAGACCTCGGGCATTGCTAGCTACCAAGATGCCACGGTCAAATTGGTTCAGGAGGTTCTCTGTGGATACTTGGAGAGTTGGTTCGGATAGTACACTGGCAGAAGGTAGCACCACCTGCTCTATGTTATTCTGGGATCCTGAAGATTTGGCTACAAGGCGGCAGTCAGGGCCATATACCTCAGTCTTTCCGACCAAATGCCCACTATAGTGGAAGGTGAGCAAAAGGGAATAATCTGGAGAGAGGAGGAAAAAAAAGATACAGCACACTAGAGATGGATTCATACATTTAAGGAGCTAAAATTTTAAAAGGTAACCTAGTCCAACCTCCTCATTTTATAGATAAGCAAGTCTGGAGAGGTTCAGTAATTTGACTGTTGATTCAAGAAACACATAAAATAACAATAATATCCTCACAATTTTCTAGCATTTTAAGATTGAAAAAGTACTCAATTATCCTCAAACACCTACCTTTTGCAAAATACTGCACTAGGCACTTTTGGGGAAAAAAAGTGTAGCTAGGACATATGCCTTGCCCTCATAGTCTCTTGAGGGATAAGACATGCTGAGTGTTGAATTTGAGATACTAATGGGACATTCAGGGGGAGAAGTCTGATAGGTGGAAGGATGTGCCAATGTAGAATTCAGGAATGTGATCAAGACAAACAGACAGATGTATCATCTGCACTGAGATGTTAGTTGAAGACAAGGAAGTAATGCACCAAACTGGAAATTAGGAGATGTGGGTTTCCAGTCCCAACTCTGATAGCTACACAACCTAGGACAAATCATCTCACTTTTCTAATCTTTGCTCTCCTAATCTATCAAACTCAGGAGTAATATCTAAGGTCCCTTCTATTTCTCAAATCTCCAATTCTTCTGTGCTCCTCTTCTTATCTCCTCTACCTAGTCTTCTCTTACAGGACAACCCCCTCTCTCAATTCTCTCAGCTGAGAACTTGGCCTCAAATTTCAGTGAAAAAGTTGAGGCCATGTAAAGAGAGCTCCCTTCTCCCCTGCTTCCTTTTCTCACATCACACAGATGTCTTCTGCCACTCTCTTTCACCCTGTCTCACACAAAGAGATGGGACTTCTCCTTGTCAAGGCAGATCTGCAAAAGTGATCTCGCTGTATCCATCTTCTCTAGCATACTGCCCCATCTATTTTGTCTTCAACCTCTTCCTATAGGCTTCCTTATTGACTACAAACATTTTCACATCTCCCCCACCCTCAAAAAACCTTCACTTGATCCACCCATTCTCACTAGTTACTGTGCAATATTTCTCTTCCCTTTTGTGGCTAAACTTATTGAAGATGCCTACAAAGGTGTTTCCACCTTCTTTCTTATCACTCTAAACTTTCCACAGTCTGGCTTCTGACCTAATCATTCAACCAAAACTGCTCTCTCCAAAGCTACTAGTGATCTCTTAGTTGTCAAATCCAATGGCCTTTTCTCCATTCTTTTCCTTCTTGGAAGTCTTGGCAGTCTTTGACACTGTCCATCACTGTCTTCTACTCGATACACTGCTCTCTCTTGGTTCTTTTACCATCTGATCACCCGTTTCCTTTGCTGGATCTTCATCCAGGTCATGCCTTGTGGTGTCCCTCAGGGCTCTATCCTGAGCCCTCTTCTCCTCTCCCTCTATACGATTTCATTTGGTGATCTCATCAGCTTCCGTGGATTCAATTATCATCTCTATGCAGATGATTCTCAGACCTACCTCTCTCACAACTTCCAGCCTCCCATCTCCACCTGCTTCCTTCAACATCTCCAACCTCCAACAACTCAAACTAGATATCCTATAGATATCTTGAACTCAACATATCCAAAACTGAACTTGTCATCTTTTCCCCAAAACCCTTCTGTTTTTCTAACTTACTTATCACTGCTGAGGGTACCACTATCCTCCCAGTCACCAGGCTCACAACCTAGGGATCATCCTTGACTCTTCATTCTCTCTCACTTCCCATCTCTCATCAGTTGCCAAGTCCTGTCAATTTTACCTTCACAACATCTGCTGTATCTCCTATACCCTTTCTTTCTTCTGACGCTGCCCGTTCCCTAGTACAGGCTCTCATCACCTCACGCCTGGACTGTTTCAGTACCTGCTGGTTGGTTCCTTGTCTCAAATCTCTCCCCACTCTAATTGATCCCCTACTCCACTGTCAAACTGATCTTCCTGATGGGCAGGTTTGAACAAGTCATCCTCCTATATGTAAACTCTAGGAATTGTCTATTATCTCCAAGATGAAATTTGAAAATTTTCTGTTTGACTTTTAAAGTCCTTCGTAAGTCTTCATACGCCCTTCTTATCTTTCTAGCCTCCTTATACCTTACTCTCCTCCATGTACTCTCCAATCTAATGTCACTGGCCTCCTTACTGTTCCATGCAGAAGATACCCCATATCCAAACTTCAGGTATTTTCACTGCTAGTCCTCCATGCCAGGAACTCTCTCCTTCCCCATCTCCAACTCCTGGCTTCCTTGGTTTCTTTCAAGTCTCAGCTAATGTTCCAACTTGTACAAGATACCTTTCCCCATCCTTCTCACTCTTTGCACCTTTCCTCTGAGACTACCCTCGATATATCCTGTATATATCTTGTTTGTATACAGTTGTTTGTATGTTGTTTCCCACAGGAGACTGTAAGCTCCTTGAGAGCAGAGACTGGTTTTTTTTGCCTTTCTTTGTATCTCCAGGGTTTAGCACAGTATCTGGCACACAGAAGGTACTTAATAAATGCTAGCTGACTGTCTTCACTGATTATCTCTTTCAGATCCCTTAATGTTTCTCAAGAGGCTCTCCTCTTTTCTCTCTACACTCCCTCCCTTGACAAATTCATTCACTCAAAAATTATTCAACACAGAAGAAGTACCTTCTAAGGGTACCCTGAGAACCCAACCACACAGGGAATCACTTGCCTCTGGCTACAGAGGTATCTAGAAGGAAGGGTTAGAAGGCAGAACATACAGTGGCTGTAAAAAATAGATCAAAAGGAGAAGGGTGGGGAGGAGTCATGGAAGGGAAAGGCCATGGGGTCTAGAGTGTACCTGCATCTGAAAGAGGAAGCAACTGGAGAATTTCTAGATCATCTTGTAAAGTGACATCAGCAGAGTCAGCAACTATGCAAGAGACGGGGAGAAAGTTCCAATAAGTATATAGGAAAAATTCACCTGAGAGCCAACTAGGAATTTCATTAAGATGATGGCATCGAAATTTAGAGCTGGAAGGAAATTCAGAGGTCAGATATACAATCCAGCACCCTCATTTTACAGATGAGAAATGATACTAAGAGACATTAACTGACTTTGCTAAGGTCACACAGGCTGTCAGGATTAAGCATACCAGATGAGACCAGGTGAGTTCAGGGCATTATGACTGTAGAAAGTTTGACTTGGTTGGAAGGAGGAATGGGGCAGGGGAACTACCTTCATGGGGCTCAGGGCTGTTGCTGTTGCTCCCAATACCAGAATCATCCATGTGCTGAAAGCTACTGCTGGGTCCCTTAGCTGGAACCTAAGGTCAAAGAATGGCTCCATCAGCAACAAATACTCCTCTGATTTAAACCTGGGCTGCCAAGCTCAGGCCCTTCCTTATACCCCATCCCTTGGAACTCACCATGATTCCAGGAGAGTTCTGCAGTGAGGGCAGGCTACGTATACAACTCCGTTTATTCTCTACATTATCTTCTTCATCCGAGGATAATAAAGTGTGGTTTCTCTTTGGCTGAAGTTTCTGGATACCCTGTGGGGCTGTGGAAGCACCAGAGGGATCAGGGCCTGGAGTGAGGGTTAAGGATGGATCTGCAAAGGGAAAAAAATGCCAAGATGGGAAAAGATCTGGGAGTGAGAGAGTAAAAGGTGTCAGAAGACATGCCTTGGGCTACCACAGCCCTCAGCAGGTCACTTCACACCTTTCTGAGCTTCAGTTTCCTCATCTGTTAAGGTGAGTAGAATGGTATTTATGCTACCTACCTCACAGGGAGTAAAGTACTTTGTAAATCTGAGTGCTGTAAAAATGTGACTCTCATTATTACCTGAAGGCTCTGCCCTGGGGAAAGATGAATCAGACTCCCCAGATGCCTCCCATCCACCTCTCAGGGTGTGGCTTATATTGTTTCCAAGGATGGGGACTAAGGAGTATGGGGGGCAGTAGTCACCAGGAAGGGTGCCAGAAGGCAGGAGCCGGTACACCTTGTAGGGCTCAGGCCCCTCCATGTGGCCTCGCTCTGGGACCTCCTCAAACTCAGGACTCTTGTTGAGGGCACACCGAAGGCGTGTCTTCCAGGCTGCAGGGTCTGCTTGGTCTCCTTCCCGATATTTCCCTTTGAATATTGCCCAGGCCTAAAGAAGGGAGGGAGGGAATGGGTATGATCACCAAGGTCCCCTGTCAACTTAATGCATTTAACAACTTAACAGATTCACCTCCTCAAATGGAACACAGCTAATATGGAAAATACTCAGGCTTCCCCACCACCCAGCTGTCAGAAAGGGCAATTTCTAGTTGTCCCTAACACTCAGAAAGGCTGTCTCCAGATCCTTCAGAAAACACCACGTCCAGGTCTTTCAGATCTTTGGAAAGAAAGGTCTCCATGACCAGTTCATGGCCCTCAATTGTGTGGGGCTTGGAAAGGGGTCTACAAGCTCTTTTACCTTGAAGAAGGCAGCATCTTGTTCTTCTCTGAAATCCTGCTTGCCTGCATGCTTCCAAGGGATGCGAAACATGGTCTTGTCTGCATCATCCCAGCACACTCCTGGGAACTTCCCACTGTCCACCTGCTCCAGAACCCAGTTACGAAGTTTTCGAGTACGTCTAGCCCGGCCAGATGCCATCCTAGAGGGACCAGTTAGAAACATCAGCAGAAAGATGAGACCTTGAGAAATGTAGTAGAAATAACAACATCAACACAGCAGCAATGGTGGGCATTTATAATTTATAATTCGTGTTTACATAGTGCTATAATGTACAATAGGAAATGTGGTAAGTGCCATTATTATGCCCATTTTACAGATGAACAAACGGAGACTGAGAGAAGTTTGGTGGCTTGCCCTGGGTCACACAGCTGGTGTCTTAAGGCAAGATTTGAACTCAACCACAATCTTCCTGATCCCAAATTGAGCACTTACATTCATTATACCACGCTGCCTAGTAACATGAGACCTCAGGCTTACAAGTTACTTTTTTTAAGCTAGAGATTTATTGTTACTTTGTGATTCATAAATTGTCAGATCGGCTATGAGACTTTCCCACAACTAAATACCACCATTCACCAGTACAGAAGTTGGTACTTAACCAGATTGAGGAATAAGGCAGAAAGAGCAGACATGTGAATATCACTGGTAATTCAACTCACACTCTTTTTGTCTATGTACAGCATATTATTCCCACCAAAGAAAAGTGCCTGAACACATTAGTGGGGCAATATGGCCTCCACAACTTTTTTTTACAAGTTAATCTTTACCCCAAATCCAGCCCTCTGTGCCAGCTGTCTCCTCATTCCTTGAAACCTCTTTTCATACTATAAACCACTGCTGAAGACTCTGGAATAAAAGCCTCTGAACTATTCAAAGTTCAACCATTTTGATTTCATCATCAATAGAAATTATGGAAAACTGTTTTTATCCACAGTAATTCTATTTGGGACAAAATTCAGAGTCTATATTTAGAGTTAGGGCCTTTTCATGTCACTATTCATAGGGAAGAAGAACCAAATAATTTTTCTTCTCTTTAATCAATTTCTAACCTGGAAGGACTAACTCGGCACAGTGTAAAGAACCCTGACTCTGGATTCAGATGGTTGGGGCTCAAATCCTGATTCTGATACTCACTATCTATGAGACCTTGGGCAAGTCCCTTACACTCCCTAGGTTTCAGTTTCTTCATTTGTAAAATGAAGGAATTGGACTAGATGGCCTCCGAGATCCCTTCTTGTTCTAGATTTATGATCTCATCTTTCATGAGAGCATTTCCTGGAGCTGGCCCTATGCCTTCACACACGGCCTGTTCCTCATTCTCACTTCATATACGGGGCCTCTAATTCTCAGTTCTCTTACACACGTATTCCCCTTAGTTTGTGACCTGAAGACACTCATCTTCAAACTAGGACCTGGCTGCCCCTCAAAGCTTAGGGAAGGGAAAGGGGGCTAGGGGAAAGTGAAAAGGGGGAAGAGGAGGAGAAAAGAGGCGGAGTCACATTAGAAGTGGGCAGCACTAGATATAACAAAAACAACGGCTGATGGTATCCTCTGGACTGAGTGCCATCTATTCCTCCCACCCTGGCAACGAACCTCCCGGTGACAGACCCCTAGCCTTTGCCTCTCGCATCCGGATCCTCCTGGACTGGACATGGAAGTCCATTCTTCACCATGAACTTTCTCTGCCCTTCTCCCCTCCCCCATCTCTAGAACCCAGGTGTCTCTTCCCGCAGCATCTGGGTATCTACCCACTGGCTGGATGTCTCCTCCAGAAGCTAGGTGCCCTAGTCAGGGCACAGAGCCCTCCCTTACCTGTGCTGGCAGTCAGGTGCCTTGGTTGGATGAACTGGAAAGATAGGCGCAGCTCGTATCCCCGGCTCACTGTCTCTCCTCCCCTTCCTACCGTCCCCTGTGTTTCGCTTTCTTTAGGCACCGCCTTTTCCACGAAATCACATGGGCTGGAGCTGCAGGGCACCCAGCCACCACCAGGGGGAGCAGCGACCTGGGAAAAGGGCCCGACCTACAGCCAGCTGCGGGCACTGCGGGAGGGCCTGGGCCTGGGCCTACGTGCAGACGGAAGGGGTCCTGGGCAGGAGCCCCGCTAAGCTGCCAGGCACAGCCAGGGGCGGCGCTTCATAAAAGATCTGTGCTGTCCTGCTCCCGAAGGAGCCCGAGAACTTTTCTGAGTGCAGGAGTGCAGCATCTGGGGCTTTGCTGTTACTGTTCCCTCCCACCTCGGCATCTAGCACAGTGCTAGGCACATAGCAAGCCCTCAGGAGGGCTGGGAAACAGGGGCTGGGCAGTGGGCCATTCGGCATCTTTGCTTGTTCTAAGCCCTGAGCTTCAACTGGGGGGATCAGAAGAGAGGTCACAGCAAAGCTCCTCCACATTCTCTCTGGCCCACCCTTCCTCTATCCCTCAGTCCCCAGGTGCCCTTGGCTGGAGGGGACCAATAAGAAGGACCACCAAGGAGGTTGGGAGAGGAGACACCTTTATTGGTGCTGGAGTTTCTGTGGGAGTCCGTAGGAAATGGGAACTGGCGGGGGACACAGGGGCCTTCCTGAGGGCCCCAACCCCTGGCAGTGGGGCACAGGGGCCTTCCTGAGGGCCCCAGCCCCAGCTACTTCTTCCTTCGGGGGATATTCTGGCCCAGAGGCACCTCTTCTAGCAGCTTCTGCAGGAGGAAACAGGAAAGTGGGTTAAAGCCAGGTATTTAGGGATTCCAGGTTGGCCAAAGGGATCCTTGGAGGTCAAAATATCTGAGAAGACGTCCACAGTCTCTTCACCTGTAGCAATCGAGTCCGATAGACGGAGGCCTCCTCTCCTGCTACTGGCTGAGGTCGGACATGCAGATAGCGCTCAGTGGCTGTCTCCAGCTCCTCCACCTCATACAGCATTGCTGGGTCCAGTGAGTGGGCATTGATGAGGCTCACCAGGTACTCCTTGTAGTGTGCCCTGGGGGTGGGAGAAGCAGAGGAGGTATTGTGCCTGCTTCTGGGAACGCCTCACCATCCAGATATCATCAGACCCCATGCTTACTGCCCAGACTCCATCCCCAGTATGCATCTTCCAGCACTCATTCTTTGAGGAATCAGTGCACAAGTCCTAATGCTTTCCTGAAAGGAGCTACTTCCCAGCCTGGTACTTACTGGCAGAGTCCGGCATACCCAGTTGGGGTCTCCTTTCCACAGGCTTCATCCTTGAGCCCACCCGGAACCTCCTTCTGTTCCATCACACGGCAGCCACCTGAGGGGACAGATGAGTCAACAAGGTCTGTAAAAGGAAGAAGGTGTTTGCCCTCAAAGCATAATGGACATATTATTCAGCCCGCCCAAAGGGAGGGCAGCTTCTAGTGTGGATGACAAGAATGCATTATTATCCAGAATTATCAACTATCACAGGATGAGCCTAGGAATGCAGTCATCTACATCTCAACTCTCCAGCTCAATAGAATAAACTGTTGTCCTAGAATACTTGTTTGTACCACTAATTTTGCATCTAGTTGCATATTGTCTTGTTATATATTGACTGCTAATTAAATTTCAGTTAGAGCATGTTTTATTTTTTTCAAATAAAAACTCTCAGAGGACAGGGGTTTTGTTTGAATACTTCTTTGTAGTGATTACAATGCCTAGGACAATGCCTTGCAGATAGCAGACAATTAATATTAGTGAACAAATTGAACCATTAAAGTTGAGGGGTTTATGAGTCCACTTCCCTCCTTACCCTCCCCCCAACATGGTGGAATTGTGGGACATCACCCACACCTCTGCCCCTTCTCCACAGAGGATGCTTTCCCCTCTCAGTGGGCAGTTACAACTGGAGGTTGTTACGGTCTCCAGGATGACAAGCTCACTCACCTCCAGGCACTGCCCGGGTTCCAGCTGGAGGCTCTGTATTGAAAGTAATGCTGTTATCCTAGGAAGGGACAGACAGGTGAGTGTTTCAGCTAGCTCCCATTTCTTGCTTTAGACTATCTCCCCTGACCTTCACAATGCTTCATGAAGGGAATCCCTGAGACACTAGGACCCCAATACCCTGAAGTCTTTCCCGTCGAGGCCCTCTCATCCTGGCCTTAGAGGCTTCTGACCTGTAACAACTTCTGAAGACGGAGAGCATCCCAGTCTCGAAGGTAGAAGAGACAGTCTCGAGGATGATGACCATGCAGCGATTTCTTCACCCGGCAGTTGGGATCTGGACATTTCTGCAAGGAACCCAAGAAGAGGAAAGAGAGTAGGATGGAGAATGTATTGGGTCTGGCCTCTCAGTGACTCCCTTCATGAGGTGTAGGGTGGTGGTAAGAAGGACCTGAGTAAGGAGTGGAGGGAGCCACACACTAGAAAATGGGGAGAGATGCTCAACAGCAGAATGACCCCTCCACCCCTTCAACCCCACTTTCTCCATATCCTCTATCACTCCCTCCTAATGATTTGCCACTCAAACCCAAGTGTGGTCTGGTTGCATTCCCCATCCCAAACTACTGCCCCCTTCCTCCCACCTCAAACGTACATTCTTGGCATAGAAGGCACTGTAGCAGCCACTGCAGAACTGATGGCGGCACTGAGTGCAATGGAAGTGCATACATCCACCCCGAGCCAGAGCGTAGGAGAACTTACACTTAGGACAGTCTATGGGGAGAAACAGGATCGGGAGGACAAGCTAGCATAGCCGGCTCACAGCAAGGAGTTTCTCCATCCTGTCCTTTCTTGACAGGAGTAAGAATGGCAAAGACAGATGAAAAGCTTGTGGGGTAAATAGTGGCAGATAATGGTGAGTGTACTGAGGAAGGGGCCTATATCTTGGAGAAGAAGGACAGAAGAGGGCCTTACCAATGCCATTCTCCTGCAGGTACATGGCCAAGCCCTGGGCCTGGTATTCAGGGTCATTGGCCCGTTTCCAGCTCTGAAAATCCTCACAGCTCCGGCCCCGATGCTGTTCTTCCCACTACAGGAGGAAAACCAAGTACTTTAGCCAGAGACTTCCCATCCCAAACAATCCCATGATCTTATTCTTGCTACATGCCACCCCATTGTTCCAGCCCTCCTCTTTTCACCCAGTTCCCACTTCATCCACTTATGCCTCCACCACAAGTCACTCCCCCTTACCTGACGCTTGCAGCGAACACAGAAAGTCTGGTGACACTGGGGACATGTGGCCTCTAGCTGCTCCCGTTCATAGATGAAGCCAAAGGAACACTGGTTGGGACAGAAAACAAAAATATTACCACGATACATCCTTACCCCCTTTTCCATCATCTCTGTCAGCTAGTCTTTTCCCAGTTTCCCTGTGCTCATCTCCTCACCATCTCACCTGAGTGCACCACAAGAACTTGGGGTCACGCATGAGCACACGTTCCGTCAGTTTCTTGTGGAACAATGCATAGGCATCAGGATCCAGGCTTTCCCGCAACTAGGAGGACATGAAGAGGCAGGTGGAAAGGATCCCCAACCACCTGGAACCCTGGATCCCTTTAGCTCCATGGTGTTCACTTTGGGTTCTCTTGGTACCTGGATGTCCAGGGTAGAGAAGTAGCTGACCAGTTGGGTCTCATCAGTTAGGTCAGGGCGTCCACAGGCTGGACACACCATATCTGTGATGTGCTTCTCCTTTAGGGCAATGGTGAAGTGCTGCCGGAAGCAGTCTGGACAGATGGTGCACTCACAGGAGGTCAGTGCCTGCATCTAGGGCAGGAGGAGGGAGAGTCATGTCAGGAGCCGATAAGGAGTAGGAGAAAGGACTAGGCTGTTAGGATCAGGCGTAAATTGGCTGGGAAAGACACCCAGCTCACTACATCTGAAGGAATGGGAAGAAATAGCAAAGATCCCTTTGAGCTGACGAATTAAAAAAATTTGATGGTCTTTTAGTAGTCAGGTTGGGCTGAAGTGGGATTAAGGGGTCTCATGTCGTGGGAAAAGGCATACAAGCTGGCAGCGCAAGGGGCCAATGCTCAGCCAAGACAAAGGAAAGGAGGTTACCCGGTTTCGGGGAAGGGCCCATCCACAGACAGCACACTCTTGGGCAAGTAGTCGGCGCAGGAAGGCCCGGTCAGGACTATGTCGAACTGCCTCCACCACATCTACCAGCTCATAGTTTCTTGGTGTCTCCTGAAGCAGTGAAAGTGCCAGCTCTGCCCGGCCCCAGCTTGGTAAAGCATATACTGCCAATAACCGTCGTATCAGACTCTGGGATGTGAGGGCATGGAAGAACATCGGTCAGAATACCCCCATCTGGCCTGGCCTTTTGCAGGGTTACAACTTCATTGTTTTTCCTGCTTTCCCAGTTGTCTCAACAAATACCTGCTTATCAGGCCCATCCCAGGAAGGGTTAGGCTCCGGGGCTTCCCAGAGGCGCTGGTGGAAGGGTTCTAGGCGCTGTCGCTGTAGCTCCGTAAGGGCTCGCCCCACATCTCCACCATGCTGATAGAGTGCTTGCAATGCCCCCTCCTCTCGCCCAAAGCCCAGGACCTCTAACTCCCGTACCTAGTGATTATAGTAAAAAAGGAGAAAAGCCAAAAGTCAGAAACATGCCGAAGCTCTAAATTCTAAGGTCCACCTCTCTCAAATCTTCATATTCAACCTTATTTTATATATCTAGTTCAGTTTAGTAGCTGTTCTTAGACCCCCATCCCACCACCCTTTATTAACATTCCCAGATACCAATTTATCCTCTGTCCCCAGTCCCTCACCCTCCCAACCTGAAAAATTGCCCCACCTTCCTTCGTCTGGCTCGAACACACTCCTCTACAGCCTCATCCAGGTTGCCATGACGATCAAGCCAGGCCTGCTTGGCTTCTTGGCAGGAGAATGCACCTAGACTGGGGTCTTGCCGTCCTGCCATCTCTGCCACCATCTCCAGCACATAGGGCAGCTCTGACTGCAGCCACTGCAGAGGCACCTCAGTGCCTGAGTATTGCAGGGCTGAAAATATCTCCTCTGGGCACGCACCTTTGGCTTCTCCTGCCTGGGGATGCACCCCACCCCTTCATTAAGACATTGATAAGGAAAGGCATTCTTCACCCCTCTAACCCCATTAGAAAAGAGTTCTGACTAATGCAGAGCATTCTAGAATCTGACCCATCCTCCACCTCATATTCGGGAGTCTGCTCCTTTCTCAAGTCTTCATCTTCCACCCAAAACTTACTCGGATCATTGCCACCAATCGGAGCCCATCCTCCCGCATCTTGTCCTGGCGCTGCTGCTCAGGATCTCCTCTGAGGGTGGGCAGAGGAGTGCTTAGGCGCTGTGTAGACACAGGCTTGAAGCAGACACTGGCTCGGGCTCCCTCTCCCAGCGAGCTAGTGGGGAGCCAGGAGGGAAGAAGTGGTGGAGTAGGGCTACTGGTCCGGTTACACATGGTACACACCCAGCCTGGGCCAG